GATGTACTCGAGGAGAAAGATTTTAATAATTTATTAATATATTAATGTTTATTAATTTTGAGAGTTATGTATATCTGAGGGGAAGTATTTAAAGAAATCGTAATTCCTATTCAAGTTACCAAGATTGTAAGAGTACTTTGGAGACTCAATTATATTACTATAATATGCTGTAGTCTAGTCTCTTGCTGGACAGTGACTTTGGATGAGTAGTTCTAAGGACTCGGAAGTTTTAAACCTCGATAAGTTGAAGGGAGGGACAGCAGTTATTGATGGGATGATTGAGTGGAGTTGTATTTTCTAATATTATACTCGAGTAGTGGTTATTTATATTAATGGTAATAATAATAAAAGAGTTTTGATAGCGAGATTTGATGATGAGTAGTGATAGTGATAGTAATAATATAAATATAGTATATTCTCCGTCGATAATTTGTAACTCAAAATATCTATAGATGATAAATATGAATGAATATATAGCATAGTTCCAACCCAGAAGCAAGGGCCGCAATCATATACCAAATTTGTAGCAGAATCGTGGGAATAGTACTGGTACACTTGCTTTGGTATTGATTGTAGTTGGGAGTTCTCATATAGTGGGTGGGAAATTGGGAATAGATAAAAGGTATAGAAAATGAAATGCGGGATGGAGTTTCGATTATGGTATAAGCTCGAGCCTTTAGAGTCTGTTGCGGTAAGTTTGAGAGGAATTTAGGGATTTGGGGATTTGGGAATTTGAAGAAAGGTTATTCATTATGAATGGCGGAGAGGTTTATATCAGTGCTAGTTAGTAGTTGGTAGTTAGTAGTTAGTTAATTCTCAGTCTAATCATCCACTTATACTCTCTCTGGCTCTGTGCACGTGAAAGGGATGTCTAATTTCCTTAATTTCCTTGATAGGAATCGTAGGATATATAAATCTTCAGTACGGTATACCATTTAGAAGTGGCAGCGACAAATGATTTCTCCAAAAGAGGAAAATAAATAGGTGTGTCTGAAATGTTTGCGGAAAAGATTGAAAGTGTTTGGGATATATAATTTTAATTTATGTTTAAGAAGTGAAGTGGTTTCTCGAAGATTTGTTTGGAAAAGAAAGGGAAGTTGGAAGTTAGAAGTTTGGGTGATAACGCAGATGGAGATGGAGATAGAGATGGGTATGGATATGAGACAGCGAGAAGTATAACTAAATATTGATGATACGAATCTTTGGATAATAGTGATGAGTTTGAGTACCTACCAGTAGATTGAAAAACAGGAAATTGTCACTAACTAATAGAGGAAACATTCAGATGACTTCCCGACCCCAAGAAAAGATAAATATGAAATGGATTAGTTGACTAAAACCAACATGCATGTCCAATCTCTTGCGTTGTCCGAGTTCCTTGGCTTTCCAACGCTGGTCATATCATATACGACGCAACCCTTAAATAGCACAGCTCTTAGAAACTATGTTACTACGGCACTGAAAAAGCTGGGTATAGATAGGTATGAGTGGGGGTGGGGGTTCTCTATTCTAAAATAGCATACTCGGGTTTATTATTCACCGTACTTGATATCTAGATTACTGCTAGACTGGCAGTGGCAGTGGCACTAGACTGCTAGTCGGTGGATATATAAAGTATGCCTGCCACAGATTCTTCTTGATCATACGGGGCGAGGCAGAGTGGACAATTTTTTTAATGGGTGTGGACTCTGGAGTGGTTGTGTGGGAAGCTTTTTTGTAAGCTGCACTAGTTCACAAATTCAAGGTCTAGCCAAAGATAGTGGTTTAGATGGAATTTGGATTGAGGGATAATATCAGGTATGGTTGGTGAGACGATATGTTGTTATATTCAGATTATCGTTGTCGGTTTATGTAATATCATGCTGTCATGCTGTCATCTATCCAGGACGATACTTACAGTACAGTATGAGATGAGATGAAGAAGTTATGTTATATGTTTCAAATTAATATAGCGGAAAGTTGAGGATGTGCTTTTTGGAGAAAACGACAGAGCTCCTTTTGTATAGCAACCCTTTGATTGGGATCTCCGCTGAATTATATATGTACTGTTCGGGATATCCTGGAGAATTAAGATCTTTTATACCCTTCTCCCCAGAAGTTTTTGGAGGAGGGAGTAGGTAGTAGTAGGGAGAGGGGGTGGGTGGGCACATTAGATCTAGAGAGAGATTATGCATCACTTCAAACTATCAAGTCAATTAGTAGAGGAATCTCTATAGAAACTTTATAGATCTCTAGTTCACCTGTTATTCCTTACCCAGATACGAAAGACACATAATGTTCCTCAATCCTCATATTTATATCCACTTTACCCATATCAATCTTTCCACTTTACATTCATCTACTCCTATACAACTCCAGATCGGGGTATATAATCGCCACTCGCCACTATACTTGTATCTTGGGAAGACTACTAGTAAACTTTATAATACCAATACTTGTGCGCAGCTACTTGTGCGATGAAATAGCTACCGGTATCTTCAAACTATCTTAATATTCAAAAGAAGAAAAAGGTATACTAGTATAATATTCAATGTATGTTTTTCTGGGGATACAGACGTGATATACTTTCTCTCAATCACTTCGACCGACTTCTGCGGCGGCAGCAGCAGTGATTATGATGGTGAATGAAACAATGACAGCTTGAGTGACAGTCAAACTGATATCAAAATATCGAGAGTATTGTTATTAATGATAACATTATACAAGTATATACCGATCATACAATTCCTACTATACAATTGAGCTTCAAGTTTTCTCTAGAAAACAGTCAAAGTCCGAATCAAAATCCAAAGAAATACCAAATTCAACTTCCTCCCTAGCTTGACCTGAGAAGGGTCTCTCTCGTATAATTCGCTGTCTTGTACCGACTTCAAGTTGAAAGGTGGTGAATACAGCAAAAAAATGGGAAAAGTCTCACAAATTGGTGGCGCTGATGCATCCATCTGTTGCCAGTCATTCTCCTGGCTCGCCCATCTCTCTCTCAAGATTTTCAAGTAATCGAAGCCCTCTCCATAATATATATCATTATTGTCAAACCTTTCAACTTCTTCCGTCTCTGGCATATGAGAAAGTTATAAAAGTCGAAAATCACTGTTTTTGGTGTGAAAGGGTGGCCCGAAAGTAGGGTAGTAGACTTAACTACCAACTACCAACTACCAACTAAACCATCCCATCTCATCCCATCCTCTCATACCCCTCTATCTTATCCCCTCCCCTCCTCTCCCCTCGCTAACTACTAACTACTATCAACTCACCGATCTAATAATATTTCCTTTTTTGAAGCTTTCTTTAATTTAATTTATATTTATTGATTTTACGCTAATAGCTTATAGCTGATCGCTGATAGCTAGCTAACTAGTTGGCCGACTACTCTCCCTAGTATATGCTCCAATTTCCTATTCCCAATTTCCTGTTCTCAATTCCCAATCCTAACTCCCAATTCTAATTTCAATTTCAACTTTTCCCTTTAACTCCATATCCATCTCAAACCTCTCTCACAAAAAAAGTCAAAAAGAAATCCCCATCCACCTCCCCCTCCCCCTCCCCCATCCTCCAAAATTAAAAAAAAACACCACCCACCGCCCACCACCCCCAATTCCCACACGCCAATCATAAGTAGCCATGCCATATCTCCGAGCCTCCCTATCCCATGATTCCAAAACATGTCCCTCCCTATATGTGTACGTTTCATTTTGCTAGCCAATCAAATGTAAACAGACCAACAAACCAACAGACCACCAGACCACCACACCACACCAACCTTCCGCGCGCCAAATTCATCATTGAAAAACACCATGAATGCTTGTATGTAGTTATTGTAAGAAGTTGAATGAATAGAATTCGATTTGGGGTTTTTTTTGAATCCAGTCGAAAAATTAGATATAAGAGGAAAAAATATGTACATGGAAAGAGAAAGGTAATGAAGAACGAACTACCATTTCGATATTGCTGTAAACTGAAATGAGCATCAGTTCCAGTTCAAATGATTTTAATGAAATACAATCGAGAAGAAAGTCTATCGTACAAACCATCGTTGTGTTGAATAATGTATTCATGATTCCAAAGACAATTGGATGCATGTAGGTACCCTATCATCACTCGCCAAGAATGATAGGAAGAAAGTCTCAGCCAATCCTTCTACCAATCAAAACAAACTCCTTGAAACCCATTTTATGATCATTGCATAACGTCGTAAATGTTTATCGAGGAAGAATTTCCTTAATGAGGTCACATCGGTGAAGTATGACTTAAATGATCAATGTCATTACATGTTGGGACTTTGAGATGAATGCATTCCTGCCATACCATATGGATTCTGAGCTTGATGTATATGTGGTTGATCTTCGTAAAGTGGAGGCATTACATATGCCGGAAGACCTTGTTGTTGACCAAGAGGAGTATCTTTATGAGCCATCAGCATTGTTCTCAATTGGTGAATTTCATTTTCCATCGATTGAACTTTCTGTTGGAGGTGCTCATTCTCATTGGTGTACGTATCAACTTTGGCTTGTAAATTGTTGAGCCATTGCTTCTTCCGCTGTCTACATTTAAGGGCAGCAACTCTGAAATTTTGTTAGCAAGAGAACATGGGTACAAATAATTGAAAAATCCTAACCTGTTTCGTTCAAGAAAGCTCTTGCGTTTCTCGTCATCTGTTTCGGGTTTTTTGGATTTACCCTTGTCATTTCTCTCTTCATTCTCTTCGAAATCAGCTAGATCTTGATCCTCCATGTTGTCTAAATCTTCATTTGTGAATTCTTCATGCTTCAATTCCTCTTGCTTCTGATGAGCAGCTGCATTGTTCCCTTTTGACTTTTTATTGTTCTTTGGCGAAGGTTTGGAAGCATTGCCTTTTCGTTTTGTGCTTGCCCTCTTATTGCCGGTTGTAGTCTGAACACCATGTCCATTCATGTCGTTTTCATAACCGTTACTCTCAGGATCCGTTGAGTTTGAGTTTATGGAAGTATTCCTAGTCCTTTGGTTCGTCGAATGACCATTCATCGAGGAAGAGTTATTTGATTGACCAGCAATTTGATCAGCCATCTGACCATGCCCTTGCACAGAGTTCATCTGCTGACTCATCTGTTGATTCAAGATTTGTTGGTTTCGTTGTAATACTTGTTGCTGCGTCGTGATGGCTTGCGCTTGTAGTGATTGTCGTGGTTGGCCCAAGGCGATGTTATTGTAGTGGGGTGAAGAATCGCGAGATGACCCTGAATTAGCCAATAAAAAGAGACTCGTGGCTGCATTGGATTGATTGTCATCATTAAAGTCAACCAGGTCATGATGATCATCTTCGTTCATCTCCTGAGGTTGAGAAGTAATGCTTTGCATAGAAGCTCTATTGTTTTGGGCGATAGTAGCAAGTTGACGCTCACGAATTTCAGTAGCAGTACGCTGAAATTCGGCCGTTCCAGGTGTTGCGACAACACTCCCCCCGAAGATTCCTGGACTTGGCATGGCTGGAATGAGAAGTGATGTTGGAAACATAAGGGGATTCCCAGGACTCAGAGCAGCCGAGGCAGACGGTAGACTCTGATGCCTCAAAGCTGATTCTTGAGGGGTGAACACTCTCGGTCCATCATTGATACCCATATTGATACCCATACCATGTTCTCCCGAGAAGTAATCGGAGGCAGGCTTTTTTGGACCGGCGAGCATGTTGGGACTCAATGGACCCTGCCGTAATCCATCCTTATTGAAAGCACCCCCAGACCCAGATTGTAAAGCATGGAAAGAAGGTAAAGGTAGAAGGTTGTTCACACCTGGAGCATTGTTCCCTTCAAACTTCGTAGGACCACCTCCAAATTGTGAATCGAAAGGATTTTCTTCCTCGGCAAGAATATTACAGCGCTTTGAAAGGTAATCGCTGACGTCATTTCGCGCCGGTACAGGTGGACGCGAACCTGGTTGACTTGATTCTAACAATTCGGGCTTCACAGTGGTATCTAGTAATAAGATATCAGCTGTTGAAAGAAAAAGATAAGTTAGTTATTTGGTTAAAGATGTGTGTAGTAGATGGTTGAGGAGATTTGATTGAATTAATTGAAATGGGAGACGAGAGATGAAGGACTCAAGGACTGAATTGAAATGAGTACTTGCCTGATGATTCACGTTTAGACCGATCAAAGAGGTCATTTAACTGTACAGGGCTTTCAACCTTTGAAGACGGCATGGAGAATAGAGGATTAATGGCGACCAAGGAAAGGTGAGATATGATAGATGACGCGATAAATCGAGTTCGACGTAGTTGGTGTAGTTGATGTAGGTGATTCCTTTATTTTGCGTACCTGATGATGACGACGATGACGAGTGACAAAGTAGCAGTATGATGTTGTGTGGTGTAGTAGTTTATTGTAAACTTTGTATGGTATTGAGGGTGGTGAGGGTAGTGAGGATAATTGTGTCAATAGTGTGAGATGGTTTTGGTTTGGTGTGCGCAATAGTGTGAGAAATAATGTATCAGCCCCTTCCAGAGAAGATGTTCCCAATCTGCGGTTCTTGTTTCTCTTTGTTTATTAATTGATTTTGTTACTGTTGTTGAATCTGCTGTCTGTGTATGCATGGGATATGTGTGTACTCGTATGCGTGCATGTGTATTGTACTGTATTGTGTTGTGTTGCGTTGTGCTATTGCTATTGCTATTGCTTTGTTGGAGGTTCTTTTTTTTTTCTTTTCGCTGTGCGGGCGCGACTTTGGTATCTTTTTATCTTTCTTTGATGTTGATCGAGCAGGTGGATTTGTCCTGATTCATTCAAATCAATCGAATGCAGATGAATATTGTCGGTATCGTTATTTAGATCGATGAATAGTCGCCAGGTATTCGATAGTCAGGTAGTAAAACTACTTCTATTCCTCCTTCGACCTAATTATGATGGATGGGTGTGGATGGTGTTGAGATTGTGTTGATGGTGTTTCTTCAGAGGTTTAGAAGTGAATGGGTGACGGTGACGTAACCTTTCGAGGACAGTGATTTAACTGCGAAAAGCGATCAATTTTTGCGATCAGTCTATCAGTCTATCAAAAAGAAAAGAAAAGCAACAATTTCCTTTGATAGATAGAGATGTTGTTCGAGATGTTATGAGAAGTTAAAACCTTACTTACTTAGAAATAAATATTGAGGATATTAATCAATAATTTATATCAATATACTCAGTTCAGTACTCGAGTATTAAATAATGAGGCTCTGCTTTCAGATAAGGTTCTCCAATTAATTCGAATACTCCGAATCTGTTTGTACCGTCCTTTTTCCTTTTTCCTTCTTCGAGATCTCTTGGATTGAAAGTTCGTGACTTTGAAAGTTAATGGTGTAGCAAAAAGTTGCAGGAGAAAAAAGCGATGACGAAACGAAAAAGGTGATGACGAAAGAAGTCTTTAATTTATTTGGAGAGAGAAAGAGAAGAGGAGAGAGAAGAGAGAGAGCATTACATTTTAGTGTGGGTGGACTAAAAAAGCCAAATCATGTTCTTTTTATGATTTTCACCAATCATTTGTTTTCATTTGACCTTTTACTCCATCTTTTCATAAAGACGCTATACCTAATTCAACCACTTATCTCCTCCTTGATTAGAAAGAAAAGAGAAAAAAGGTTTATTGAATAATACGGGAAGTGAGATGGATCAGAAGTGCAACATTCCAATCGACATCCATCTACAAGTACGTACCGAGGTCCTAGGTCCTAGGTAAACATTTCAGTTGTCACGATACTGATACTAATAGGTTATAAAATGTGAGGAGATCTAGGATCAAGTCAATTAGCTGATTTTGTATATCATTGTACCTTAGATTGAGATTTATTAATTGGTTATTATCGATACTTTCTGTAGAATCTAGATAAATATCAATCTAGTTAGTATCAGACTAAAGATTTAATCCTCGGCTCGGTAAGAAAGTACCAAGTATACGGTACTACTTTGCGTATATATTCTTTACTCATAATTATCTTTGTCTTTGTGCTTGCTCGCCTCCTTGATTGTAAGATACTATCCATTCTATAAACAAATCACGAATTTAGCCTTTTTTTTTCATCCTTTTTTTATCCTCAAAGACTTGTTATTTCTTTTGATTACGCATACAGAATTGTTTCAATTGGGAACACAATGAATAAATGAAAAGGGGACAATTCTTTGTTTCCCCTTGTCAAGTTACCGGCCGGGTGCCATTTCAGTCTAAGTGCCGGATATCAAAGTTGCGACTTGGGTGTAATAGTGAACTTCCTCCATCTTTCGAATCCGAGTACCCCGAATCTAATCCAATACAATACGATTGTTGGATATCAAAGATTCAATTCGAAAGATATTACTGGTATACTTCTTCTATCTTTATTCAAAATATTGATCCGAATTACAATACTCGAATCCAATCTAATCCAATTCAAGTATTGAATATCAAAGATTCGATTCAAATGTATCTTCTCTATGATTCTGATCCGAATCCTATTATTGGAATCCAATCCAATCCAATCCAATCCAATCCAATTCAAGTGTCGGATATCAAAGTTTCGACTCGGGGGTTGTTACTGGTGTACTACCTCCATCTTTGCCTAAGGCCCTGATCCGAAATTCCAGTACCCGAATCCAATTCAATCCAAATCAATTGCTTGATATCAAAGTTTTGATTCAGATATACTTCCTCGCTCTTTCCTCGTGGCCCTGATCCTAGATTCCAGTACCCATACCCGATTCCAATATCTAAGTCAACGAGTATCAAAATCTCGACTTAGATATACTTCCTCCATCTTTCACACCAGTCCTGACCCTAGATCCACCGCAAGAGGTATGTAATATATATCTCAACCTTCACCTCATCTTCCATTCCTTCTAAGATTCTATCACAATCTCCTATAACAAAATTCACACCAATCTTTCCTTCCCCATATCAACCAGTCAAATTTCCACACCTTGACATTTCTGAAGTCCAGTTGCGTAGCATCTTGCGCATTCATCATCCTACCCCCCTCCACCTCCACAAAATAAGATGCAGATACTCACACTATTTCAAGAACCTTTATCCCTATCCTTATCCCTCTTTAGGAAAATTCTCGGTTTCAGTACCTTCTTCTTCTTCTTCTTCTTCTTCTTCGCAGCCACTCGAGAACTAATTACCTAGGTATCCCATCATACCTCTCAATCCATCTATGCAAAGAAATATTCTCTGAAATACTTGGCGTGAAATAGATTCATCTTCATCATCATAACAATATCTGCAAGTGATCGCATCATATTGCATCATGTACATTATACCTTCAATATTCATCCAACAGACAAAGTTGTCGTCGCAGTGCATACAGTATGAAAAATACCATCCCATCCCATCCCATCCCGCGCATACATCCAAAAAAAACAAGCGTTCTATCTCTCCAACAACTCCAAAGCTCACTAGTAACCACTAGCGCCTTCTCTACTCTAAATTAAGTCTTAAATAGTGAGATGAATGGTGGGGTACAAATTAGGACGAGGTCCTTACAACTGTTATCTAAACTTATATTTTCAACCAATCACCATAAACGCAACAATCACATGACTATATCAGGGAGGGAAGCGACTTTTTATCGCATCTCGCGTATGCCCCGTAGGGACTTTCTTCTCTCATATAAAACTAATGGGTATGCAAGCAGGGACCCCAAAAAGCTAAACGATTCTACTAGTACAAAACAAAATTTAGGCCTAAAAAGGAATTATTAGCATTTTCCTATGAGAAGATGGAATCTTTAGTATATATACGTACGTCGCGTCTTGGTTGGATATCCCCCTGGCGGAGGAGCATCTGGGTCCACTCTCCAGTGGGATCATCATCTTCTTCCTCTTCGTCAGAGGCGGGAAGGGGCGGGGCAGGAGCCAAAGGAGCGATGGCGGGAGGAGCAGCGAGGAACGGCGCAGCGTGGGGGAGGGGTAGGAGGGGCAGAGGGGGGAGAATTGGAGGAGCAATTGGAACCGCAGCCGGAGCGGGAACAGCGGGAATACCATAACCCGACACCTATAAATATTGAATTAGCTTGGAAAGATCTGGGCGTTAATACGAGTGAAACAACTTACAACCATCTGCGGGCTGCCAGCCGCAGAAGGCAGACCCCTGGCAGACTGTTGGATCGCGAGTCCGAGGGCCTTTAAAAGTCAGTATACGTCAAATATATTACGAGAATTACAACATACGGCAGCAGTGATGGAGTTGCCAAGATTAGCAAAGACGACGCGCTCCGGCTTTTGGGCAATCCAAGCCTATTTTACCATCATTAGTCATCATTTATCTTTCACACCAATATATATATATATATATATATATATATATACATACAGCATCCGGCTGAACCAACAGATTCTTATTTATACCCGAAGGCAAAACGAGGTTGGTGCTCAACTTGGCAAAAAGAGCCACCTTTATCCCTTGCCTAGCCATGCACTCCCAATCTTTGACCTGCCCATTATATCGGGCTTGCAATTGCCCGACGGTCTCGGGGGCCAGAGGCTTGCGGGTTGTGCCTCGAGGTCCGGAAATTTCTGGGAAGGTGGGCAGGTAGAAGGGAGGTGTTTGGGAGGGGCGGGGGCGGGTTAGGTAGGTGTAGGTTATTGTGGGGTTGCCTTGGAGGGACATCTTCTGTTGATTGTTGGTGTTAGTGTTTTGATTAGGTGATGGGTTGATAGTCTGTAAACTGTACTCGTAAAGAGTAGATAAGAATTGGGGTTGAGTAAGACAATGGAAAGATCTGAAGGTCCAAATTCAAGATGGGCAATGAGGTGGCTTAGAACAATGTGAGGCTTTCCAGATAACTAAAGGCTTTCATATAATCTGGGGTTCACAGACAATCTACTACAATCATCAGATATCTTGCCAAAATAACAGTACTAAACTGCATCATACCACATACCATATGCCACAACATGCTAAAAATATCTGCCGATAGCAGTAGATT